CCAATCCCCACATCTTAACTTGTCCTGCAGTAAATGGTTAGTACCATCTAGAACTTTGTTACTGAAGCTATTAAGGTGAAGCACATATTTCAGAAATGCCTCACAGACTGGAGGAAAACATGTTAAAATGGCCTTCTAGATCATTCAGACTACAGTAAATGTGGACTTAAAAAACATTTACCAAACGTAATATACAAGCACAGCAATATACTTGCAGAGCACAGCAATAGTGGCCAGATAGATACAGTACTGTAAGTATTTTGCTCAGCCCTGAGTTTTACTGGCTCTTTGTATCTCAAATGCACAGGGCTGATATTGAAATCAATAGCTGAATTATTGTATCTTTTATTAGTTTAAAGCTAGATCAAAAAGTGAGATGGGGAAAACAGAATTGCTAGGTTCTAGATAGGTCAGATGGTCTGAACTTGTTAAAGGGAGAGCATCTTCAGGACTCGGAAACGAGATAATAGCTATTTACAGCTGTTTCTGCAAGAGAAGTGGCTAATGCTTATAATTAATTTAATTAAATACAAAGTTAAGAGGCATTTTGTAGTGTGGCCTTTAAAAGGTTTTGGTTTCAGTGCAGGTTAATTGACTATGCAGTTTGAGCATCAACGGTAAAATTCAGTATGATGGTGTTCCCAAAGCCTCTTTGCTTCAAGTTTAAATCAGCATATATGACACTTTACAGGGCAGCTAATGGAATTCAGTAATCATTCCTAATTTCAGTCCCTTTTCCTTTTTAAAAGACTGTAAGGAACATCCGTGTAGTTACTCAAACCCATTTTCATCTTCCAGTTCTGTGCTGTACAAAGTGGGCTTCCTAATCAGTTTCTTTCTATGAAACTCACGGAAATTCGTTGCTGGTAAATTGCTAAGATAATAGAAAAATGATAAATTAATTTAATCTAGGACTTAAACTGCTGAATTGCTTTCCTTTATTAAACAAGCCAACAGGTAATATTTCAACTAGAACTTGGGCAGTGACAGTGGGATTTAGGGAGCTGGTGTTCAGCAACATCTGGAGAAGCTCAGGTGGCTGAATTAGGGATTTAAAGAGTAAAATTACCATTCTTAATTGTGTCCAGAAACAGATGGGAAACCGATGAAGATATTTTGGAGAACTCATCCCCTACTGTGTTGAAGTCATCAACTGGATGTTATATTTTGTATCAGAGTAAGTTTTCATTTTTTTTCAAATCCCACAAATTATGTTATGTATGTCTCCAAGGTATTCTTATCCAGCTTTATGCAAAAGCCTTCAGGCAACCTCTTTAATAACTCAATTAAATAAGACTAGAACAGAAAAATACAACTAAAAAAAATAGTGGAATCATAACTGGGATGATTCCCAGTAATCCATTAATGGTTTAATGATATGCTTAAACAGGTCAGTCAAAGACCTAGTGGGTGCATTTGGGCAACATATTGGCTTCATTTTAACCTTGATAAGTTTTTTGTGGCTTAGTATGGTGTGTGAACCCAAACTGTTTGGTTAATTTATGATTTAATGTTGTTTGTAAAGTCAGAAAAGTGTGTTAATTCAGTAACCAAGTTAAGTGTGTTGCATTAACCCACCAATTGCACAAAACATGGTTTATGCATGAGGAGGACTAATTCCAAAGCAGACAAACCATATTATAGTTTTACATGAGGCTGTGTTCTCAGTGGCATATGAGCTTTAAAGGACTATTATAAGTGGTGTGTGTGGGCATATGAGAGAGAGAGGAACTGAAAATTCAGAAACCAGATATGAAATGTTAGAAACTAGAAATGCTATAGAAGATAGTTTTATACTGAACCAGCATTTTGCATGAACTAATTCATCAAGGTCAACACCAAGATATTAGGGAAATGTGCAATCTGGAAACTTTTTAGCTATTGATGCTAAGAGCAAAACTGGGGTCTTCACCTAAGCAAAGTATGGTCTTCTCCATGCTGGATTTATCCTCCCCTGCACCTTCAAAATGCTGTTATATTATCCTAGTTTCTGCCTGAGTTGGCAATGAACGCTCATGGGAAGCTTCTAACTTCGGCACTGAATGAAGTCGAAGGCATTCTCTTGTTGGGGTAATTATAATGGGGAAAGCAAAATGGCACAGAGCCAAGGGAGTCTTTCAAGTTCTCAAGCAGTGGGTGGGATAGGAAAGATAGCTAGAGGTAAAGTAACTTCAGTGAGAAAAATGGTTGCAGCTTGTTCTTGATGCGGAATTAGCAAAGCTGCCATCCCCTCCCTTAATAACATTCTACCAGCCTGCAAGTAAAGACTAAGCTGACAGATGTATCAAACATTTTGATTACACCTTTGAAAAATAGGGAGAGCACTTTGGATGATTTGCATCTTCTAAAACAAGATTAATCATAGCATTCTCCAAATTGGGATCTTTCATATGCTATAGACTAAAACTCTCACCATCCTTGAATGTCTTCCAGGAGGCAGAGGCAAGTAATGACATACAGTATGTGTGCTAATAATGTCACACCTATCCATGACTTACATACCTGTGTCAAATATGAAGTATGTGCATAATTATGGTGTTTGCATTATGATGTCAACATACATGTGTGCCATTTGGACATCATTATGGCTTGTTCCAGATGTCATTGTCGCCATCATCAGCAAGAGATGGTGGTTATTGTATCCTGGAGGACATTACATCAAGGAAAGATGGCGTTTGCTTACAGATAAAGCAGGCAGGATATATGGACTTCTTAGTGTTTTCCTATTTCAGATGATCAGCTGTTTAATTATTATAACTGGATTATATTTGGGAAGCATCATCTAATCAATATTTCCCTTTTTAAAAATCTGTTTAGTTGCTACCCCAGTTATACTTTGTACAATCCCTCTGTTTCTGTCTTGGCTTTTCCTGTCACATTTTGATCAATTTGCCAGATGGTTCCTCTTATTCAGGAGTATCTCTTAGTCCTGTGTGAATCAGACCAAAAAATCTGATTTGAATCAATTCAGAAGACTAACCCAGTTTCATCTGGACATTCCAATTGGGTAGATTTCCAAATCAATTTGGAAACAGATGGTTCTGTACACATACAGTCCCATCCAAATTGTCCAATTCAATGTAAAAGGATCTGATTCAACATTTGAATCAACTTCATTTTCAGATTAAATCTCTGAATTGAATATTTATAAAACTGTAGTGTATCTTCAACAGGAATTACTTAATATAATTATTCATGGAATTAATCTGTAATCCTTGGGGCACAGCTATGTGCCATATTATTTATCCATTTTTTTTCAGCACTGTGTACTCTGACTACCAGACATTTTACAAAGAAGTCTAGGCCTGCTATTTAGGCAGAATATTTTGCATGCAGAAGTGTAGGAGGTAAAATGTTCTTCAGCTCAGATAGCATGAGCTAGCCCTGTTTTCAAGGACTCAGGCAAAGCTTTTGTCATATCACCTGCACTGAAGATACCAGCAGGTGAACCTAGGATTTAAAAAATGCAAGCATGCAGTCTAGCACTTCCTGATTGAATGGATACTAATACTGATAATCAGAAACCTTAATTATCATATTGTTCAATAAGAAATGAAC